GGCGGCGCGGCGCGTGAGGCCGCCTCTGGCCGAGCGGCGCCGCCAACATGTCGGATACCAAGGTAAAAGTTGCCGTCCGGGTCCGGCCCATGAACCGACGAGGTGAGGAGCTCTCCGCGCGTTTCCGTTTCTGCCCGGGCGGGCCGAGGGCGGGGGCAACTTTGGAAACTGCGGGGCTGCGGGGCCGGGCGGCGAGAGCGCGGCCGGGGCCCGGGCGCCGGGCGGAGGCGGCGCCCGCAGCGGCTCGGCCACCCGGCGCCCGGGGCTCGGTCCCCGGCTCGGCCGCCTCCCGGGACCGCGCGGCGGCGGGAGGCAGCGCGGGGCGAGGTGGCGACGCTGGTGTGCCCTGTGCTTTCAGAACTGGAACTGAACACCAAGTGCGTGGTGGAGATGGAAGGGAACCAACGGGCCTGGACCCTCCCCCCTTCCAACACCAAACAGGGAGAAAGGTGAGGCGCGTTCCGCGAGGGCGGGTGGGAGGACCCAGCTCGCAGGGTCCTGCAAGTTTGAGCCAGGAAAACGGGAGTGCGCCTTCCTATTGTTAGAGGGCGGCTTCAAGTTTGTCTCACGCTGCCTTTGGAAGCGGTTGCAAGTCCAAGTTCCTCTCTTCCCTCTGTTTCCCCCACCCCCGCCGCTGCCGGTTCCCTCCCCTCCCGAGCGTTGTCACTCAGAGCCGGCGCTCCGGCCACCGCCAGCACCGGTCAGCCGCGTCCCCGTGGGCTTCTCGGCAGGCACTCCGAGCTAGGGGGACGGGTGGAACCCTGGGATAATTAGTTCAGTGGCCACATTTTATGGATAAGAAAACTGAGGCCTGAAGTGGCCAGTGACCAGCCCACGGCCTCCGTGGCACCCAGTGCCCGTGATTCTTTCCTTCTGGGCTTCCTTGGGCAGAATTGTTTAGGGACATTGTGTGTAAGATGGGGATTGGGAGGTGGGGGGCGGGGGCTAAAGCAGAAACAGTCTTGTAGGATGCAGGCTCAGGCTGGACCATTTAAAATCTATTTTTTTTGTTGGTGTTGAGTTGAGATAATGCCTGAATGTAATGCGCGAATTTTGATTTTCAAGGAAACAAAAGTAGAGCCCTGAACTGTGTAGACACTGGAGGGATGTTTAAAAGGGGGCTGCATTTCCTAGATCGCAACATATTTGCATTTGAAAAGTGGTAACTGTTGGATCCTTATTAATTCTGCTGTGTTCCATGCAGTACTATGGGAAAATGCCCTAAAATAATTTGAATATTTGGCATTTTTCTGGTAAGCCCTGGAGAAGAAATGTGTTGGAATTCATTCAGTATGGCAATTCAGTAGCTTGTAAAAAAAAAAAATCAAAGAAAAACCGGGATTCTACCAAAATATTTCCTCTTGGAAATGAGTATGAGTTTGTTTCTAAAAGTCACCTGTTGATTGATGAGCTACAATGTAGTGATTTTGCTCTTAAGAGGTTTTCATTGAAGAGAGGCTCTGAAGTAGTGTTTGTTACTTTATTGCTAAAGGAGGCAGCTGCTCCTATTCAATAATAATGTGGTATCAGGCACCCTTTAGCTAAATTGAGGGAATGACATTATGAAAAGGTAAGATTAGGATTCTTCACTTTTTTTTGTTGAGCCTAGCAATTTTTTTTTATCTGATTTGACAATATTTTGCTACCCATAGCAGATTCTTATGGTGATATTAAATAGCTAGATTAAATTTAAAATGTTATGTTAAATACTTTTAAGTAATGGATTTATCCTTGGGCTGTATTTTTAGATGCATTTGAAATATTTTTACAGTATTTTTAGATATAGCAGAGTAGATAATATGTTTCATGGTGATAGTAAGTAAACTAAGTTAAAATATTTACATATTATGTGAACACAACACTAAAGTCTTCCTACCCCCTGAAAAAGGATATTGTTTTATTATTTCAGAGAAAAAATATTTTTTTGGTGGCTCACATTCTTCAAGGCAGTCTGGGAAACAGGTCTAACATTTTGACTCCTGTATTTTCCGCTTATCTTATCCTAGCTGGGGTGGCACCTTCTCCTTGTCACTCTTTCCATAAGGAGCACTATTGTTGGTTACTATTTAATGAAATGAAGCCGTGTCATTTGTGCAGAGAAACAGGCTTAATTTTGTGGATAGAATTTGTAACTTCAGACTGTGCTAAATAATCAGTTGATCATTTTGGGGACTGCCACATTAGTCACTGATCAGATCTTTTCAGTAAAGATTTCAAAGGTGATTTTGGTATTTTTTTCCTTTGGCTTTCTTACTGGGACAGCCCCTGTCTGGAGCTGTGAGACTAGCATTGAAATATGGGTGCTCTCATTCATCCTTGTGACGCGTGATGCTTTGTGTTGGTGGATGGGCCCTTTTGGTGGGATTCTGCCTGTGTCCTGGCCATTCCATTTACGAGCAGGAGAGTCAGCCCACTACTTGTAGATGCTACTTGAAGATGAAAATTACCGTCTTTGCATGGACGAAGACACCAAGTGCATTTTGATTTTCACTATGCAGCTTGGTTCATGTTTCTTCAGGGAGCTTTCCCTTAAAGCAACAGTGCTTTTAAAAAATAGAAACAATTACTCCCTTGGGCTCTAGGTTGATTAATTGCAATAGTGCTTCATGTTATATTTGCAATTCGTTTCTATCATTTGTTTTTGGATAGAGCTCCGGGTAGGGCAAGTGTGAACCAGTTGTATACTGAGAATATTTATTATTTCTCTTACCTAGAAATCCAAGTTTTAAAGTATAAGAGGTCCTTACATAATATTGGCCAAATTGTGTCAGGTTGAGAATTACTGTTTTTCTGAAAGTTGCAAGAAATCACCAATGCATTAGTCACAAGTGGCAATTCAGAGTTACTGGGTGAAAGTTTTCAGTCTTACCAGCAAGAGAAAGTGAGAATGCATTGACTTCCAGAAAAAGAAATAGGCTTAGCTTTCTTAATGTTCCCCCTTTATGGAATCAAAGGCCAGACTGCTTAGTTAGGACTAGAAGATCAGAGGACTTCTGAGGGTAAAGATGTTTGTTCTGGTGCTGAAATTCTAAGATTGTTATACATGATGTAGGTCCAGGTTAATGTTGACTTGAACAGTAATAGAAAGGAGTTTATTTCTTAAAATTCCATTGCCTTGCCATTCAGGACCCATTTACAGAGTTCATATTGGATATTATGCTTGGCACAGAGTATCCAGAGATAACTGCAGGTCTGCTGCCTATTCCAGAGGTTCTCAACTTGAGAGTTGTGGGAAGAAAGAGGAAAAAATACTTAAAATACAGTGTGGTAATTACATGGGCATATACTTTTGCCATTATATGTACCTTATCATTTGGACATTGCCTGCTTTCTCTCCTGTCCTGCCCTGAAGGCTTCGAGCTTCCTGAAGGCAGGTACCTTGTACCCTTTGTGCCCTGTATCCCTGCACAGTGCCTGGCACAGAGCAAGCGCTCAGCACCTTTCTCCAGAGTGATGTGAGCACTGGAGAAAGACTAGGCAAGCCCCTTAGGTTCTGCAGCCTGCAGAGACAGGTGGCATTTGTGCTGGTCTTGTGCAAGGTGGGGTAAAGTCCTTTGTGGATAAAAGTGAAAGCATGCCTGCCAGATTACTTCTGGGTGATTATACCATGTGAGTATGAGTGTGGGGTGTGGATTAGGATGTGGAAACAAGGCCATTTGCTGGTAGGGGGTATGTGGGTGGGGGGGAGACGGATGAGAATTCCTTATGTGCCCGAGTGTGTGAGATAGAAAGTGAAAAGTCTTCCACTCACTCCTGTTTGTCTCTTCTACTCTTCTCATCTTACCTCTTCAAAAAAAGCATCACCAAAGCCATCTATTTCTCATGAATTTTCTTGCCTATATAGTCTATATTGACATACATATGCAATAAGTATAACTTGCAAGTATATAGATGAATACATACATATGTATATTGTAACAAATAGTTTTGTTACTGTTCAATACTAGCATATATAGAAGACTTACTCATCCTTTCTTATACCTCTTATGGATGATCTTTGTTTTTCTTTTTTTCCCCTAATGCTGGGGATTGAACCCAGGGCCTTGGGCTTGCTAGGCAAGCATGCTACCACTAAGCTATGCCCCTAGCTCCATAGTGGTAGGTTTTGTTTTGTTTTGCTTTGTAAAATATAGATTATTAGCCTCAGAATCTGATCCTTATAACTTTTGGAAAGTGAAGCTTTATTAGGAAGAGCGCATGATGGAACTTGCTTTCTACAGGAATTTGTCATTATTTTATGTAAGTGAATTGTAAGGTGAGCATCTAAAGTAAAGTGTGTATTGAGCCTAAATAAGAAGAAAATATTGGGCCTAATACGGACTCTTAGTAGAAGAACATCAGAGTTTTATACTTCTGATTTTCTTCCACACTGCGGGGTGTGCAGTGTACCTTACTTACAACCTCTGTGAGGAAGGGTCTGGTGGGAGAAAGCGAACCCTTGGTCACCTGCTTGTATATTTTCTAGTTTATACCTCTGTGTTTTTATTTCTAGGCTGACTTCACTTGCCATTCCAGAGTCTTCTAAGATATTTCCTCCTGTTCAAGGGTCTCTGTAGATAGGCCACAAATTTAAAAATTAGTGAAAGTCACACAAAATTAGAAACGTAAATCACCTAAGAAACAGTAATATTCCACGTTATCATCAAATCATTTTCAGGGACTTTAGTTGTTTTCTGTGTCATTACTCTTCTGTCTGGCTTTATTAAAGTAAAGGATATTTAGGGTTCACTAATATAGAAATATGCATTCTTCAGGTTTGTCATTAGTGGGATTTCAAGGAGTATCACAATCAGATATTTTTATTAGCTGTCAGTGTCTTCAGTTTGTTTGAAAATAAATGTACATGGAAATCTTTTTTAAAAAACAAGTTTTAAAGCAATTATAATGCAGTATAGAGTGGTTTGAAAATTATTTTGATATAGTCTACGATTCAAAATGCCTTTTACATTTTGAAATAAACCCTATATGTGTGTATGTGTATTTTAAATGTTCATGGAAGTATAGTCTTAAATATACGCAGTGTCTTTCTTATTTTCTGTTCATTTAAAACATGATAGTTGTGCTGTGTAATCCAGTGACTTGGGAGGCTGAGGCAGGAGGATCACTGGTTCTAGGCCAGCCGCAGCAATGTGGTAAGGCCCTGTCAAAAATAAAAGGGTTGGGGATGTGGCTCAGTGGTAAAGCGCTCTGGGTTAAATCCCTCGTGCCAAAATAAAACAAAACAAAAAGATGGTTGTGACTTACCTGTGATTTCACAACCCACAAATGAGTCACAAGTGGATAATTTGAAAACACAAGTTTAGTGGGTAAGAGTTTGGGCTCTGTTTTTGTTTTGTGTTCTCATTTTTTTTTTTTTCCTTTTTAAATTAGAGTGAAGTGTAAAGTCATAATTTATAAAGTTTATAAAGCTCTATAATTTGTAAATATTATAGTAAAAAAGAAGAAGAAG